ACCTTCATCAAAAAGTCCATACCAACCAGGATGGGGACGAGCATATAGTCCTTGAAGGAATTGTCATTCTTGTAGTACTCGTCCGGGTTTGGTAGGGCATAGACCTCAAAGACCTTCGTGGTGTCATTCGAGGGCGAGATGGAGGCATGATATAGAGCCTGACCCCAACGTCCACTGCCATACCTGAAGAAGGGCCTCTTGGTTTGGTCCAGTGACACCTGCAAATTGACATCCTTCTCCCAAAGAACGGAGATCAGCTTTTTCACCGAAGCCTCAGGTCCTGCGGATGCCGTGGCTCCGCAGTCCAGCATTCCAAAGCCGGGAGGAATTGCTCTGGTGACCGAAGGCTCATTGGTTGCATACAGCTCCAAAGGCTGCAACTCCAACATGCCAAAATCCAAACCATAAACATTCACCGTTGAGCGAAGCTTGCCGCCCTTGGTGTTGTAGCCCTTACTCTTTCCTTTTTGGAACAGCATGGCATCTGGGGAAAAAGACGAAGACTGCGGCCATGAAAAATCATCCCATTGAGAAAACATGGAATCCTTCCCTTTTCGTGGTCCCTTGCCCTTGCCCTTGAAGAGGTAGGCATCAAGTTCAACGGGGCTCATGAACTTTCCGGAACCTTTCCGGTATTGAGGGTGTTGTCGATCAGGGCAATCTCTGGCAAAATGGGGACCGGAACAAATATGACACTTCACTGTTGAACCCTTTCCACTGCTTTGGAACTGACCAAAACCACGATCACGTCGGAGATTGGCGGTTGCTTGCTGAGCTTGAGACCATGTACGACGGGCCTCCGTCATGAGAGCTTCTGCAGCCTTTTCAGCTTCCAAGGCCTCTTGCATGTCTTGGTCATCTTCGGCGGTTGCAGTGTTCTCCGCCGGTGGTTCCGACGAAGACCAAGCGGCAAATTGCTCAGGCCAAGACCAAGAATCATGCTCAGACCAATCCTCTGTAGTCCAACTGGATTGATCATGCCAAGACGCTTCAAGCCAAGGTTCCCACGACTCAACCCAATGTTGTCCACTGCCGATGTCTGCCCAGCCGATGCCATTGTGGTCGTCTCGGGACTTGATCTCACCCTCATCGTCCTCATTGAGATCCGATCCACCGGATTGCTCCTGTCTCTGGTAGAGCGGGTCGTCAGGCTCTGCCCAAGGATAGGCCTCCTCATGGGCTGAGTATCCAAATCCCCTATTTCCCCTTTGGGTTTCACTTAAATCCCCCACGTGGTTCACCCCCACCTCAAGAATGCGCTCCACGACCAACTGGGCTACACGATCACCCTTGTAGACTCGTAGGTCATCGTCCGACCAGTTCCTCAGCAGGACTTTCACCTCCCCCCTGAAGTCACGGTCCACGACGCCAGCTCCTGTCTCTATCCCCCGGATTGCCAGTGAGGACCGTGGGGCGATTCTGCCATACGTTCCGGCTGGGAGTTCGATCGCCAGACCAGTCTTAATCAACACACTCTCGCCCGGTGGAACCAATGTCTCAATGGTGGAGTACAGATCGAGCCCGCTGCTTGGTCAGATCCTCTTGTGGGCAGCCGCGCCTCAGGGTGGAGTAACTTCACCTTGATCTCCTCCTTCGGCTTGAACCACCGCTGGATGCCAGACGTTCCCACCCGGAATGTGATGTCCACCATGGCAATGGCCGCCGTGATCAACACAATGATCCACCACTCCCCAGCGGTCTCCTTCTGGTCCTCCGTCACCGCCTCCACCTGTCCCAGTAGACTCGCTGCAGCCACCAACAGTCCAATTCCCCTGGCGAAGCCGGTTTCAACTCCCTTGTGTACTTCGATCTTCTTGACCTCGATCGGCCTCTTCTCCATCCCCTTCAACCCCAGGGCTTCCTTGAACCTTCCCAATGCTGGTCCTGTGAGTTGCTTGGTGAAGCCATCAGCAACGAGGACTTTTCCGGACACATGATCCAAGGTGATCTCCTTCTCCCTGATCGCCTCGGTGAGTCCCGCTGCCCTGATACGTAGGTGTCTCGTCCTCCATGACGAAGTCGTGCCAGTCGCTATAGCGATGGCAGCTGTTGAGTCCGAATGAAGCCTCACCTCCGCCTTCTCTTCCACCACCGCCTCCAAGAGGGCCGCTGTGGATCTTCCCGCAACGAGGCCTTCCAGCATCGCCATCAACTCGGCCTCAGCCGTGGAGAGCGTGATGAACGGCTGTCGTGTCGTCTGCCATCCCACCGGAGTTCCTCCCACGAAGACCGCTGCTCCGGAAATACTCTTCAGCTCCGACGACCCATAGGAGGCGTCCGTGTAGACGTCCACCGTCCTGATCGAGGCCTTCTCGTCGCTGTTGACGTTCTCCCGGTTCCCACCATCCTCTGCGGACATGACCAAGACTTCGTCGAGCGTCTCTTTGAGGTGTGTTCGAATCTGCTTCCCGATCTTGATCACTTGAACCGGTCTCTTCGACGCCCATTGTGACATAATGCCAACACCCAGCGACAGGTCGGGCCTTGTTCTTCCCGCCACCCACAAAAGCTCACCTGTCTCCTTCTGTGCCTGGAGGATTTGGTCTGCCGTTTCCTCCTCGGGCGTTCGAACTTGGCTCAGAACACCTCTTCCGGTCTCCTCATATTCGCCAAGCAGGTTGGTGATGTAGGCCTGCTGGTGGATGACATAGTCATTCCCCCGCTTCTCCACTTCCATTCCCAGGAATCTTACGGGTTCTCGTCCTTCCATCACCCATTCTGGTTCTCCGATCTTCCAGTGGGTCTTCACCTGCTCAATGAACCCTCGGATGATCTCCTCCTCGCCCACCATGAGTACGTCGTCCACGTAGGTTGCTAATGCCCCCTTCGTCTTCCATCCCATCTTCTCATCTTCCTCCTGCATCAACCAAATGTCCGCTTGAGGAGTGGCCTGCGCCCGGATGGGTCTTCCTCGCCTGTCCCAGCGAAAGTCCTTGATCTTCCCATCCCGGTGGTCGCACCAATCTCGGGGAGAGGTCACCAACCCGTATAGCGCCTTCTTGACCAGCCACAACTCCTTGGGATTCTTCAGCACCTCAGCTTCCTGGAAGATTCTTGGTGGTTGTACAATGACTGTGCCTCGTTCATGGGCAGCAGGAGCATTGAGGAATGCCGTCTTGACGTCGTCGCCAGTGACCACTGGTTGACCGCCGCCAGCTTGATCAGCATCCTCACCTCAATCCCACTCGCCCCGGATGCAAAAGTCGACTCCGTGCTCTTGGCGTTCATGAAATTTCCACATGCCACGCCCCGGCACTTGTGTCGTCCGGATCCTGCCTTTCGGCTGAAGATGGCTTTTGCCGGGACGAGGTCGAAGTCTTTCCCCTGGGTCTCCGCCTCCGCCTTCAGCTGGTCGGTCTTCTCTCGGTCGATGGGCTCCACATGTACAGCTTCCGAGTCCATGACCAAGGCCGTGTACTCCTCCACCATCGAAGGCCTCCACTCTTCAAGGTTCTTTCGGAGAGAGGCTGGGTTCATCCACGAGGTCGGTGACCGAGAGGAGAGCGACCAACCTCGAAAGAGACCGGGACGGGTCAGGAAGTGTGTCGGTCCGTGATGCACCTGTGAGTGACCACCCTTGCTATGCTGCAACTGCTGTTGACCAAGTTGTTCATCCCACAACGTTTGCAGCGCTTCTGCAATCGAAGTGTAATCCAACTTGTTGCCCGTGCTAGCAAGAATGTCACGCCATTCGTCATTGCTCAACGAAGCTGCAACCAACAATCTCCAACCACGCAACACATCCAGGATGAAAGAGTCCATAGGACCCAGAACTCCGGGTTGACCAGCCGGTGGAATTGTGCGGCCAGTCGGACTCAACGCTTCAGCCCATGGATCTCGCCGGCTCGGTGAGGCAACTGGTGAGGCACGAGGCTCCTGATCATCTCCAGCGTCAGACGTTTGTGGCACGGCTTGGTAGCCATCCGGTGGATTCGGAACGGAACGGTCGCCGTCGGTATTGCCTTCTCCGGCATCCGGTTCCCAACGACGCCAACGGTGCCAATCACGCCAAGGATCACCATGCACTGAGGACTCAGAAGGCGGTGTGATTTCCGGCAAATCAAACAAACGCTGTGCTGGTGAAATGCCATCATGCTCTTCTTTCAGCTGCAGCAATGCCTCCTGGAATTCTTCAAAACCTAAAGTTTCCCTCACTAAGAATTGTGCTATCGGCTCGCCAGGGCGTCTTCGAAACATAAAATATTCCGACATTGTAGCAGCTGCATTTGGTAGGGATCTTCTCACTAAAGGGGATGAAGAGAAACGACGAAGCATCACCATCACACCTTCCTCTCCTTCGAAGTCTCTCTGGTGCCAGCTCATGGAAAGAAGGCGGGCAGCTCCTGTCAACCTGCTAATCAACTTGGCCGCAACATAGCGGCGCTGTCCAGCCTTGGTTGCAGAAAGGTACCATCCAACCTCTTTCACATATCGGCGCCAGGACTTCGAAGAGCCATCCCAGCTAGGAACGTCTTGACGTTCCCTCTCACTCATCGCCAGCAACGGAGCAACCTGGCTCCGCTACCAGTGCAGTTCGCACTGGTAGCGAAGCTAACAACTCAACTGCCAACCCAACTCAATGCAAACCTGCACAGGAAAAAGGGGTGACGTGTCACAACCAATGCGAACGTGTTCAAGCCGACACGACAGCTCGATCTCGAGACCGATCAACAGTCTTTCACTCCATTGCGGTGCCGCAGTCGAACATGGCAAAAGGGGCCCCTGGTGTTGGGCCGAGAGGTTCAGACGACACATGTCAAGAACTCACATGGACAGGTAGTGGCTCATGAGGTGAATCGCAGATACTTAAAGCAGCAAAAAGAAGCACGCCAGCTTTCGAAAAAGGTTCGGGTCAAGCAAATGGATTGGTGGGTCCAAAACTGGACTGCCCCATACTGCCCCATACTTCGGTGTAGGACCAAACCCCTTTCGCTTTCACCGGGATCTGAGCTAACGGATGCTAACGGTATCGCATGGTCCGTTCTGCCTGCACGAGGCACACCCGCCATGATGGAGATGAAGAGGGGCGAGGCTTCTGGAGTCAAGCTTAGGCCACCTGGCGTCGTCGCCAACACGCCAGGCCAGCGAATCCCCGAGTCAGGCGGAGGATGCCAGTACAAACGTCGTGCGGATGCGGATGCTTTCCGTGGGATCGGGGTACTACCACAGGAGATGAGAGAGTGGGGACTCATGCAAGGAACTTGAGAGAGTGGGGAGTTGGATGAAAACGGTCTCCAAAGTTGCAGATGTTGGACTCTGGACCCCTCAGTGAGGGGTCCAAGTGCTTCGAATGCCCTTTGAATGTCAGATGATATTTAGTTAAAAACTGGATCAGCCAGTACAAAACGACCTGCTCGGTTTGAGAATGTGATCCTTTTGGGTTGTAACATGTAGAGGAAACATGGTGTGTTCCAAGTGCTTTTGCGGCACAGGTTAGCTACAGTCACTGATACATGCAACATTTCCACATGAATTACAAGGGAGCATATCCTCAACATATCTCAACATCCTCAACTCAACAGTGCAATTGCTGAGATGTCAGCTCTGCCGGGATATGGATCCTTGTGGGCTGCCTGCTTTGGTCTCCCATCAATTACGACCCTCGGACCTTCATCACGAAACTCTGGCCGAGCTACTCAGGGCAGAGGCAGCCACCTGTGGTCGGCCAAAGGCAGTCACTGAGTGTCGGTCTTGGAAAGGGTGGTCAAAGGAGGAACTTTATAGGCCCAACTACCTGACAGTTTTTTTTGATGGACTGGATTCTCTGCTGCCTGGTTCAATATGGTTCAATTCTAGGCAATTTGCAGTATTGAGTATTGTCAGATGGAGAGGGTCACCCAACCAGGATTGGTCAGCTTTCCCACGTGCTCTTGAAAAGAAATCCCACACAATAGTAAAGATGTATGTTTGACACATCTTCATCTGAATTCCACGAACTGTCAATGAAGCCTATTTGCTCTCCTTTGACGATCTATGCCTGCTTGGACGTACCCTCCGTGCCACAAACATGGCGTTGTCGAGCGGAACGAAAGAGGCCTTATAGAGGGCCTGATTTCTTGTTGCGTAAGAGTGCACAGCCCTTAAGGTGCACGCGTCATGCTACCAAAGGTAGCTCAGTGGCATGGGTGGGCAAAGAAATGTACCTTTAATAGACCATGCTCCACTGCCACATGACTCTGATTCATATGATGATATTCATATTATGATGTTCATATGATAGTTATTCATTTAGGTCAAAAGGAGCCCTGCCTGGGTAGTCCGAGTACTTTTTGGACCAACACACGTGGCCGGAAGGTCCGGCCTGTGGCTTCACGGCCAGCACCACCACGCCACTGGGCCCCATGCTGGTGACCACCTCGGCGGTGAAAAGCGAAGTGGGGTTCACGATGGTTCACGGTGGTGAGGCGTTAAGGGTCGGGAAAATGAGGGCAGAGGTATTGGAAGTGAAAGGATCTTCAGGTGCTGCAATCCCCCGACAATTACACAAGTTGCCACCAAGGAGGAAGGAGTGTGGCACGTCTTGGGTCAACAAAGCTCCTCGAGTGTCTGAAGTTTCATGTTACTTGTCGTTGTTTGCAGTGACAAAGCAAAGGATCTCGATCAAAGCACTTCACTTGGCATCGACTGGTCATTTGATCCGGCGGTTCATTCAATAATAATTATGTTTCTGAACAATAAGAAGAGACAAAAGTGTTCCTTGACAGCAAACACTTAAGATATCTTAAGATAACAGTTCTCCTTGACAGCGACCACTTAAGAATACTCAAGATATCTTAAGATCCTACCATCTTTGAAATAAAACGACCCCCTCACGGTTTGAGCCGTTCACCCGCCCACATCGGCCCGTTCGCCTCACTATTGGACTGGGTGGTCTTGACTTTGAACCTCGGAGTCTACCGGGTTGGTGAGAGGCCAGGTTGGTGGTCATGGATAGTTTCAGAATGACATTGACACCAAACATACATCCACAGTGTGGTTGGCATGTTCTATATATATAGCTTGTTTTGCTGTCTTTCACCCTTTCTGTGAACAACATGGGTTGTATGACGCACGGTAATGGCATCGTAAAATTGACATATTTGTCAAGTGACACCACAAAACGAACATGCAAGCATCATCTGCCCGCGCCCACCCTGACATGAGGTGTGGCGTTCTCGCAATCAACATCAACACAGCTCAACAGCCAACAGCTCAGTTCAAGTACACGGAGATTCCACTCGAGACACTGACCCTGCAAAACAGGGCACCCATTTCACTTGTGCAGCCGCGTGTCTTCTGCTCCAAATACCTTCTACGATCCTGTGCGGCGCTTGCTGGGTCGCGTGGGTAGCTCGTTTTTTCGCGGGCTCTTTCATCTGCAGCCCCCCATTCTACCTACTTCAGGAACACACAGCTCGAACGGCTGTCAGATCAATCATCTGAAAGCAGTTGCAAAACCCATGCGATCGGCACAAAACAAATCTAGCCAAACACTCTATTTGTCAGGTGTCTGCTCCTCTAAATGACTGGACCCCTCTAAGCGATGAACCCAGCTTACTGCTCAGCGCTCTGATAGATCTACAGTAATTTTCTCACCAAGTCCCAAGCTCTGGAAGCTGGTGTTCCGAGAGCCCAACCAAAAACTGCCACAACTGCTGCAATAAGTGCACCGAAGCCTCCAAACAATAACGCATACTGCACAAGAAAGATCAGATTATCTCGATCAGATGTTGTTGGATTTATGGCAGTTGGCTGGATCCGAACGGCTTGACTGCCTCGCGCTGTCGTATGCTCGTCACCGACTTCCAACCTCTCCATTAGCTGTAGATCTATTCGATTATCGTTCAACAAAGGAGTCAACATGCGCACTTGCCCTTCTTCTATGCATGCATAAAGGTGTACAAGCTCATTGCCAGTTGCAACAAGCTGGAAATGCCAAACGGGAATAAGTCGTGCATCTTCATCTTCAATGCGAAAGCACCTAGGATCTTGCGTATTCTGGATGTCATTGGAGCAGAAAACTGTCACATATCCATCTTCCGATCGGGTAAGAACAACGCACTCCAATTCCGCTGCCAGTTGAAGTGCCGCTTGGTGCCGTGTACCGTGGTTCTTCAGTACAAATAACTGGGAAGGCTTGCACCAAATCTGCGAATTTGCTTGCAAAATGGTGCCTCTCTTGCCATCAATCACAGTCCACCCATCCTGTGAAAAGCTCTGTCGCAAATCGGCTTCCACCGGGTCGAAAATTGTTCTTCCAACCAAGCTCGAAGGAGTGCCTGAGAGCGGCATGACATGGTGTCCATCAAGGTCAGGTGGGTGCGCTAAGAGGAGGATGCAGCCAGTCTTATTGGCTTTGTAGGTGGTATAAGTCATGGCTATGTGAAGAGCCCTTGCCAAAACGTCACGTTGAACAGTGTCTGGCATGTGAAGGTCACAAATCAGATTGTTCCGTCTAACCTGAATGATATGGACCTCAATGTGGCTCGCGGTTGCTGCTGAAGGCTTCACTATCGGCATCATTGGGCAACAACAAAGAACTCGCCGGCTTCTTTGGCGGCCTACCATCGCACGCCTTCCTGATGCAGCGCCTTTGCCAAGCTTCGCGAAAGGACGCCGCAACAGGCTGGGCAGCAGTGGCTGCTGGTGCATGCAAAGTGTCCGAGAATGGCCCACCAACGTCATTGCGCAATCAAGAAGCTGTCAGAAACCATCTGTTACGTTAGTTTTGCTGACTATATAAATCTCACTAACTTTACCACAGCCCATCCACACCACCACTTAATGCCTACACTATATACTCTTCACCTAATCCAGAAGCCTGTATGACACATATGTTTGCAGCTTGACCCCAAAAAACCTTCAGAAATACCACTCTCAGGCTTGGTAAACCATTTGTCTTGACAGGGAACAAACACACTATCCAGATCGTTTCAGATCCTTTCACCTGTTGTTGATCCTCCCGCTCAGCTGCCTCGATGGGCTCGCTCACGAGCACTTTGCTGCCCTGGAAGCGGAAGAAGGTTGTCCGGGTGTCCACTCAGCTAGCGAAACAGCCGCAGGTTGTGAGGGCCAAGTGTTTGTTAGCAAGAGAAAGCATCCCGAAACACCGATAGAGTTTGTCTGATTCCAGGACAATTGAGAGATTCAAGCATATATTGGGCTTGTAACTTGCAACTGTCGTTGAGTACTCCTGCGGCCCCGAAGGCATAATGTTTGGGAGGCTGACTTCCCAAATGCTAAGGGAACCCAGAGGACGATTGTCTGAAGATGTGGCTTCTTCTGGGCTAAATCCTCGGAATATGGATTAACCCTGATCAATTTAGTCATGTACAGAAACTACATGAAGCTACTGCCGGTTTGGGCTATCAACTGAACCCCCCCAAAACGTCAGTGAGACTTGGATTGGGGCCGGCTGCGCCAACCCCAATCCAATTTCCCCCAATCCAAACACCCAATCTTCCAAACAACCCCGACCCAAATGACCCCCCAAAACAAAACCCTTGGCACCCAAATCTGTGCAAACCGACTTTCCACCATACCTGCACCCACCTACCATTATTAATTTCCACGGACCACGCAGGCTCACGCACCGAGCTGATCTGCACATCCGCTCATCACCCCGTGGAAGACGCACCGGAAGACGCATTTCCGACCGCACGGACCCCCATCGCCTCGCTCGCGCCGCAGGTGGCCCGACGAGTCGACTTCCTCCCGGGCTCGCCTCGGTGGTGCCCTGGGCCAGGAGGCCACCCAGCAGCGCTTCGCACATCTGTCCCCCACCGAGGAAGCCGATGCTCAGGGCATCCCCCAGCACCTGAGGCGCGCGAGCGAAGGTTCGTTCGTTCGCAGCAGGCAGCGCAGCCCGGTAAGGGGTGGAAGAACTGGAGGAAGAACTGAAGGAACTGGAGGAAGGGGGGATGGAAGTTCGGTTGATTTGGTCCGGTGTCATTGGGTTTGGGTTCGTTTTGTGGGTTGGGTTGGGTTGGGTTGGTGCGCTCTTTCGGTCTTGCTCTGTCACTGTCTTTCAAAACGTTCCTGAGAACGAAAAATGCCTCTTCACCTGAAAGTCAGGGGTCTGGTGCGATGTGCACCTGTGAGAGCCAGTTTCTTGAGACCAACGTCCCCCTGCACACCCTGCCTGCATCTTGGCAATTTGCAGAGTCACAAAATGAGCCGAAACAAAAAACTGCGGTCCAGTGATGTGGAGGCTGTGCAAAACTGAGAAGTATCATTCATGCCAAAGGTCATTTGTATTCATAGAGAGCTGAATATGCTCATCTTGTGGGGCATTCTGGTTGATCATGATAGTTGCTGATGCGTTGACATGCCAGCGCGCTAGTGCCACGACTAGTGCCAGTTCCAAGAACACTAACCATCCTTGGAGAGGTAATTCCATGACCTTGAGAACAGGCCATAGCTCAACTATATATAATATACATGTATACCCTGCCAGCTGTCAGTAGACACTAGTAGGGCTCAGTTGAGGGCTATAGCTCAACCAGTGCATCCAGCTTATCAGCTTCTACCCTACCAGCTGTCCCTACATTCTTCCCCCCCCACCGAGGTGTGACAACTTGGTGACCATCGCATCCCCACTCATCATCTCCACTCATCGGACCCGGGAGCGCCGACCCATCCGATCCCTCCAACGCCCCGCTCGGCCGAAGCGGCGCCGCTTCGGCGCCCAGCCAGGCTCGGAAAGCCACGCCGAAGGCCTCTCCGAGGGGCGACGGAGAACGGCTCCACATGGAAGGCATACTGGTCCGAAGGGACTTTTGGGCCGACCTCCTGAAGGAAAAGTTGAACAACAAAATGGAAAAAAGAAAGTCAGGAGTTTAGGCTAGAAGGGAGGAAACAATTGTTTTAAAGACAAACACACGGAGAAACTTGAGCTCCGACTTGTGCCCAACAAACTCTTCTTCCAACCATTCTTCCAACATCAATGTTGCCACCCCAATTGAATTCGCAGCTCCCTCACCCTCTCCGCGACGTCCGAGCTGGCACGCCGTGGTGTTTCCTTTTTCCAGCGCCCCGTCTTCAAAGCCACACGTCTTTGGGTGTGGATCGGCGGGCAGCGGCCTTCGTTGCTGTGGGCCGCATCTGCTTCACTCCAACCATGCTTTCATGGCGCTTTTTTCGTACCTTCGTGCTCCACTGGCACCACTGGGCACCTTCGTGCTCCCGCTCACACCGGGTCACACCGGCAGGAGCATGTCCTCCGACAAATCCCGTGCAGGGCGGTGGCCCCTGGGCCCTCGCACCATGCCGGTGGTCGGCCGCATGGCGGCGGAGATGCCCACGGCAGAGACGACGAACGCGGTCAGGAGGCCCCACAAGCGAACGGAGAGCGGCGGAGGCTCGGTCGGCGCAGAGGCTTGGGGGTCTTCCCAGGTCCTGAGAAGGACGAACTGCTGGGACCACGAGGACTGGAGATTCCAAGCAGCTGTTTTTGTTGAAGATGGAGGGAAGGGAGGAAGGGAAAGGAGATGGGAAGAAAAACATGGTCTTGTTTTGATGTTCTTTCTGAGAGAAAAATGCTCTTAGGCAACAGGAACGTCAGTTGATTTCTAGGGGTGCTTTAGGGAGGTTCGCAACAAAAAGCACGGAGGGCCCAACTGAACCAAATGAGTGAAGCAAAATAAATGCAAGACTGCAAGAGCCTTCATTCACCCCCATGCGGGTTGACGTGAGTACATGAAGCCTGTTGTTACCGGCTCTACCTGGTTTCGGCTAGCGCTTGTCTGGGGCCATACCACACACATCGAAGGGCTGGGTAGCAAAACTACTTGGGTGTTGGTGAACACCAATGTCAATTGCAAATGCCACTCATCTGTGACAATTTCCCAGTATGAGCTGGATGCATCAACGGATAGGACAGTAGGATACCGCTTGATGCATCCATCATTTTGCTCAGCAATGCTTCCCTGGACTGTGGCCTGTCATTTCTTGCTACCCTTTTAGCACATGTAGCAGTGATCCATACAACTTTTCGCAAAACTCAAAAAAGATCTATGACAGACTTTCCATACGAGCAACATTTGCCCTTTGGGAGACCTCCTTTGCGCAGTATCCCAGTATAATCCTCCTCCAACACACTTAAAGACCTCAGTGTCCAATCCTGATTCATCGCCCCAGAAAAAGGAGTTACACCGGCATAGACCCCAAATAGCAACTAACTCATACTAACTCTAAAAACAGAAGCTTCTGCTAGGGAAACCATTCGCGAGTAGCTTCGGTTCGCCATCGCTAGGTTCGGTTCCTTTATCATTCACAAAAAAATCAGATCATTCACAGAAAGGTCCAGCGAAGCGGGGAGACCAAGTGCGGAGACCAAGTGGGCAGTGGAGTCCCAACCGCTGATCGTCCACCCGTCGAGAAGTATACGAACCCCAAGAGCGCTTTTTCAGCTCTCTGGGGAAAGATGCAAACACAAACCAAACACAAACCAAACGAACTATATGTGCTGTTTCTATCTGTTTCTACCTTAGAAAGGTTTGTGTTCCTTCCTTGTCCTTTTCTTTCCCGGCTGCCTTTTCCCTTTTTGGGACAGGACCAAGACACCCCAGCTCCAGAAGCCGTAGCAAGCGGTGGGGGACCACCTTGAAAGAGACCTCCTGCCCAGTCCGGGGCTTCGATCCGAGGTCCTCAAAGTCTCGATGTCTTTGGTGTTCATAGAACCCGTTTGACCTCTGTTTTGAGATGAAAAAACCATGTTTGGGGCTCCAAAACAGGCATGAATCAGGTTGGAGGGGGATATATGGTATGTAGTATCTATCTATTATATAGTATCTTAAGTTGGTGCCAGTTGGTCCGAATCTGGCAACTAGTGGGATCACGTCGCATGTTTTGGCGGTAAAACCCACACCACCCACTCTCCGCCTGCTAGCAATCAAAGAAAGACACCTGGACACCTGTGGGGACGCAACCCCAACTCGGCCAGACCAACTCTTCCCTGGATGACAGACATCCCACTTCAACCTTTGTGGGTCGAATCATCACCCACTCCGACCTCCGACTTCCGAGTCTGACCAAGACATCGAGACGTGCACCCCCCTCCCGCGGGTGTTCGTTCGAACTGCTCGTTAGCCACGATTTATCCAATAAGTGAGGGTTGCATATGGTTGAACATTAGACAATCACTTCAAACCACCTCATTTCCAAACATGGCAGCGATCTTCGCAGCAGCCAAGGCCTGGATTTGCTGATCTTGCGATTTCAAGAACGTCTCCTTGGCGCGAAGCACATCAGAAGCATTGGTGTCATGTTTTCCCGTGGAGGACCGTGTTGGATGCAGCCTGTGGTGCGAGCACTGTGTCAGCTTCGCGCTTCCGCTTCGGAGGGGCGGCCCTGGAGCTACACAAGGAAAGGTCCCAAAATCCAGGGCCAGCAGCTGAGGTGCAGGTCTGGGGAGAAAATGCGGGCATGTACCCAATGCCAGGGCCACCACTCTCGCGTTTCAAAAAAAACATCATTATAAGACTTGGATGCTCACTCATGCAAACGTACGCAGGTGGTGCAGGTGGCAATCAAATTGCCAATTCATATATGTAAATGGAACTGTGGGTTGCTTGCCAATGGAACCGCGGATTGCTCGCAAAAAATGAATCACAAGTTTCAAAGCAACTCAAGTACTGCTAACTTGTGAAGCTGCGCATTGAAACCCAACGCAAGAGTCTCAGATTGTAGCAAAGCGTCTTGAACTTCTATATGCATACTTCGAACTCATTTGACCTCTTTTTGGTAGGAAAGGGCCATATTTTATCATATTTTGGATGGTTGATCCTCCCGTAATAAAATATTTATTACAATATATACGAATGTTGCAAAGGTGCTCGTAAACTCAGGCACCCCTCCATAAAAGAGAACTTCGCAGGGCACAACCTTTTTGGCACCAAAAAAGGAACTCCTGGTAGCTCAGGTTTTAAGGACCCCCTACTGGTCCCTACGTCCTCCTGCCGCCAAACACCTCATCGCACCTCGTCACGAAACACCCACCATCGCTGGTGTTGCGCATGTTGCACCATCGCACAGGGCTTACACGAAAAAAGGGGGCCGGAAGGGGTGACGTGAACAATCCGAGCAAAGTCAAGGCTCGGAGCTCTTCACATCCACCGCGTTGTATTTTTTGAGTTCCATCATGATCTCAATCTCTTTCCTGAGGGCCGCTGAGGGTCACGGCCAGAGCGAAACACCAAATCCAACGAAGAGAGTGGCGTTCTAGTAACTGAGCACGCACCTCGTGTAGTAGGTCTGCTTTTTGGGGGGCGGGTTGAAAGAGGGAGGGGCCTCACAAAGGTCTCTTGATCCCCAAGGTGGAGTGCCTGTCTTGAGGGACACATGGAAAAAAAATACCCTGCATCCTGCATCTCAATCTCTACTTTTTGAGATACCTATGCGGCTTTGTGGCTGTGGGTCTTGCAATCACCCTAAACTCCAAACTCACTTCAGACCTGCTCCACAGGATGCCAATCAATGCTTCTTTAGCTGTGGCTTCCTCTATACTCTATACCAACTAACCCAAAGCGGCTCCACACGCATTGGATGGGTGAGTCCATTGGAGTTTCTCACACAAACTCATCTGCACAAAACACAAGTCTCATGGAAAACAGTGGGAACAAAAAAGGAGGTGCACCTGGCATCTTGGAAAATATGACATCTGCTGTTGTGGATGTTCCGGAAAACACACACAGACACACACATTGAGCTATTGTCAAACAAAAAACACACCAAGCAACATTGGGCAGACCTGAAACATGCGACATGTCTGCTCAGTGACGACTGTGTGCTATTCAGATCTTCAGAAGTAACAAAAAACTAGACAAATACTCCCATGTCCGCTTAATATTATTGTTCCTTTAAGAAGACCTTTTCTCAGGTTTTCAGGGTCTCCATGTCCACCAAGGTTTTTGCAGGGTCTCGTTGGACTCTCAGGAGCTGGTGATGGTGCTTCACTGCTTCACTCCAACCTGTCAATGAAATCCATAAGACAATGTCGCCAAAGTCATCTTCTCTTCCTACACCATGACTGAGACATGATCAAGAATCAAGGACCATGACATTGCAGAGACTAGTGAAAGCTGCAGCATGTAACACACTCACCCTAGCTCACCCCCCAGAATCCCCCAAGCTCACACGCCTTCCATCTCCCAGCTGAAGAAAACCACCCAAAACATCCATGTTCCATCGCAACCGATGGCCGGCGGCACGGGTCGTGGGTCGTTTTCGTTGCCCAGCTGCAAGGTCACGAACTTCTTCTCATCGTAGAGTTCTTTCAGCGCTTCTCGCAACTCCTGGAGGTCACGAACACGAACGGAGCCACCGAGGTCCCGGTACCGGCGAACACGCACCGAGTGCGACCGGGCGACCCTGGCTTCGGAGCAGCGGATGGAAAACAGGCAGACCCAGGTCTTCAAGAGCTGGGGAAAGGCGGCGTTTGGCAGGATTTGCTGGGGAGATCTTGAGAGATCATCTGAAGATCAGACTGCAAAGACCCAATCCATGAGTTTCTGTGTAGATCAAAAAAGAAAAGGACCTTCAAATCGGGTGAACGAAGGGCCACCACTCGCCTCTTCTGTGGACGAAGAGCCGCCCCCTTTCAACATCTTTCAGCCAATCTTGGAGGAAAAAACCGATTTGTAGCCCTTCAAACCTTTCAAACCTCCAACCAACTCCTACCATCTCATACCCAAACTGTTCTGAGCCCCAATCAGTGACGAAAAACCACCCAAAACGGGCCCGCCCGAAAAACCGTCGGCCTTGGGAACATCTCCTGAGATCGTTGCAGGGGCCAACGCTGAAAACGAGGCGAAGGTGAAGCCTGTGGCACTACCTGTGGCACTACCTGTGGCACTACCTGTGGCACTACCTGTGGCCATGTGAGCCAACCCAGAAGTGAGCAGGTAGAAAATGGGGGCAAAGGAAATTTACAAGACTGTGATAGACTGTGGAAGTGCTTCTTTCTGCCAATGAGTCAAATGTGTACAACCCCTGTGACAAACTGACCCAGCCCATGATATGGTTTTTCCATCTGATGGTTGAGATATTGCAGGACTCATCTTATTAGCAAGCAGCTTCCAGCAAAGAAAACAAGAACTGGCTATCGATCTGGAATGCTTGGACGGATGCCTTTGGGAATGAGATTGCTGTCTATATCTTTCTATCGTCGCAGGTCACAGCTTTCCCCACGCACGTTTGCAAAGGGCGGCTCTCTTTCCCCTGTCTGTTGCAGCTCCTGTTTTGACTGACACATTGGAAGTTCTACTGGCTGCTGTTTTGATGTTCTGGATTTGTTTTGCCGACTAGGCAAAGACAATCAAACTGTACAAGTACGGTGTTGGAATTACTTCTGCCCTTCTCTTGCAAGTGTCTCATCTACCGCTAAATCTAGTGATGGAGAATCCTTCTTTAAGAACTTGCCCTTCAAACATAGATAGGGCTTGCCGGAAAGGTTGATGCCTCCCAAACCTCCTCAGTGCTCTTCCCATCGATGTCCCAAAAATCATCCGGAATCCAGAATTCCCGAAAGAACCTTGAAGTTTCAGCAGGCCTTTTCAATCACTGGCGCTCCTGTACTCTTGGCCAAGCTGCAGAGCCTCTGTTCGAAACTAGCTCTTTATGAACAAACCGCACTTTGGCGGCCACAAAAAGTCAAGACCTACGGCCAGGTTCACTTTTTCAAACCTCTGATCCATTGGATCCCTCGAGGGATGGTCCATCCTCAGACATCTTTAGAAGCTGTTCGGTCCATCCTAAGCGCCTCTGAAGGATGGGAATCACTGCAGCAGCCCACTTGGCATTTCCTTGCACAGACCAGTGACCCATGTGGCCCCAATCGGCGGCTTCGGACAGGGAGCATGGAGGCTTTGGCTCCACGACCTCCAAAAAGACCTTCGGATCCTCCCCTTCGTTGGCTGCACTTGCTGCTGCGCGCCAGCAGCGCGACATGTCAGCCGCAAAGGTGGCCTGATCCTCGAGGCTACCAATACAAGCGCAAACCGAGCTGGGCGCGGCCAGAAGAACAAGAATGATGACACCTGGACCTCTGAGTTCTCTCAAGTGCTTCAGAAAATCTTGGAAGCCTCTGATGAGGGCCTCGTCACCATGCTGAGCCAAAGACCACCAATCGTTTCCACCCAGGTAACTCACAATCGCATCCGGCCGCCACTCATGATCAATCTTGACGTCCTCGGAAGCTCCCAGCATTCGACTATACAAGCCCAAGAAGTTGGCGTCGGCCGAGCAGCCTGGAGCATTCCATAGGACTCCAGCACCGCTCCAAGAGATACTATGAAAATCTGCATCAAAGGCCTCCGCCACCACCGCAGGCCATGCCTTCATGGCATCTTGATGAGCTACATTCATGGTCAACATGGACTTGAGGCCAGGCACGCCAGGTTGACTGGGCCCCAGATTCCCGAAACCTGACGTCTCGGAATCCCCCAAGAATTCCAAGCGGACTGAGCTCTGGGTGTCCTCCAAGCGGAGCTCTTCAAGCGAGCCGGAGTCTTCCAAGATGATGCCATGCAGGTGCACCACGGAAGTTGGCTTCTGCGTCAGGGATCCAATCTTGGCTTCACTGCGCTTCTGCACCTCCAGGATATAGCTGGCTTCGCTCGCGGGCTCGGGGGAAGGCATCAAGTAGTCTCGGACGTCCGAGTGCGTCTTCAGGACGCACACCAAGATTCCATTGATGAGGATGTTGAAATAGTTTCTGGCACCATCCATGCGAAGCCACACCCGACGTGAAGCAACTTGAAGCTTGAAGCTGGTGCATGGCCAGTCGAAGTATATGCAGCCCTCCTTCTTCACATGTCGGCCACGGAAGTGCAGGCGCGGGTCAGTGGCAGGAATCAATGTACACCGAGGAGGAGGAATTGGCAAGTTCGCGGCGTTCACTCTACTGTGACCTCCACCCATGGCAACTCAACCTTTACTGCTGATCAGCTGGTTTAAGCCGATCTGCAAAAACATGATACATCATGATAGGACACATGGAATGCTTATATAGCTATAGCTACAGCAAGCTACTTCACAACACCAAGCCCGAAGGAACCCCACAAGAACCCTTTCCACAGAGTTCTAGACCTGTAGGACCTCCATAAACTGATCAGAGGCTCACGGCTCAGTCATGTTGTTTCCCACTCGAATGTGTTCACCCTAAAACCTTCAATCTCCATTGACAATCCCACATTCAGTTGTCTCATATGTCTGCTCTGTCCATCTCTTTCCAAACAACACTTATTAAAGATTTTAAATAATAGATCAACAATGATCAACACAGTCAACACATGTTAACAATCAAGAACCTGACTCATGCTGACTCCACCCCACTCATCCCCCCCCCAGAACCTTAAAGAAATCGCCAGGCGGCGCATCCGAACGCGGTTGATGCCTTCCGATGGTGCATGTACCAGGGCGCCCAAGGGCCCCGACATGAGCTGGCCGACGCGGGAAGCGGCCGACGCAGGACGTCGAAGGGCTTTTGGGATGGTTTTTTGAAGGGCCCTTGAGGCGGCTGTGAGTGCCCCAAAAAATGGAGCCTGGGGCTTGGGGCTGAGGCAGGAAGAGCGGTTTCATGAGAGGATGGGGACGGATGGATGGAGATTGGCAGTTTCATTCCAAAAGCGGAGCATAGATGTCCAAGTTGACCGGGGGCAGCCTGTCAGGTCTATTGGTTGATGCAAAAAAAAGGACCACCTGCCAAAACAAGCACCTGAGAGGCAGAACCCCCCAAACAGCCTACAACCTGCCCTTCTTTTGGTAGCCACCATCAAGACCTCAACCACCATCAAGACCTCCATCTTGATTTCTTTTGGGCCTTGCCACCACACCGTCCCGCAATGTCAAACGTCCCAAGACCAGTTCGCGCTCGCCCCTCGCCTGGACCTCCTCCTGGAGGCAGACCTCACGGTTTCCCGACTCACTTAGGGCGAAGTCCAAGTTCTTATTGTTACCATCGCCTCGGGCCGCAGTGGGCCGGCGAGAAAAGGCAGCAGACCCAGCGGACCACGGTGAAAATCGTGTGGGAAGCGAGCGTGGCCGATAAAGAGGATGACGACATGGCAAGCGAGACATCCGTTGCGACGGGGTGTCTCTGTTCGTTCAGTGCTTGGAAGCATGATTGAGATGATATCTAATGTCAACGTCGGATTAATCAACGGGCCCCCCCCCCCCTAGAAGTTCAACAAGGTCTGAGATTGGAGGTTTTGGAGATCACATCCCCCTAATAGTGGGATGACCTGATGATGACAGGAGGAGGAGATGAGATGGGATGGAATGATGAGATCCATGAGAGCCCAAATACTAAGTCCCTTTCATCATGAGATCCATGAGAGCTTATTGGCACAAATTTGATGAGAGATCTGAGAGATCAGAGCCATGCCAATTGGATCAAAGCATATTAGGGCTTGGTGGAGGAATGGGCAATGGAGGCTCTATGTGGTGAGAGTGGATGCCTATTCTGGATGGACAGATTGGTGGCCTGTTGAGGATTGGTATGATTTGATGGCCTATGACACCCAATCTGACAGAGATTGGCACATTGCCAATGAGTATAGGGAGATGGGCCTTCCAATATGGAGGAGGAGGAGATGAGACTGGAGCATGCATTGGAAAATTGGAATGAAAGGGAATTAGTATTTGGAAGAATTGAGATGAAAGGGAATTAGTATTTGGAAGAATTGTAGTGAAAGTGAATTAGTATTTGGAAGAATTGGAAGGAAAGGGAATTAGTATTTGGAAGAATTGAAATGAAAGGGAATTAGTATTTGGAAGGGTTGGGATGAAAGGGAATTAGTATTTGGAAGAATTGGAATGAAAGGGATGATGGGGACATCAGAACCTGCTGAGCACACCATTGGTTCCATGATTCATGGGCATATTTTGGCACAAGCTATTAGGTATTGGTGGGTATTGAGCCATGGTGCACTCAGCAGAGGAGATGACCAATGAGCTGTTGAGCTTGGGTGGTATCATGAGAAGCCATGCACTGGGCAATGTATGGGTGATCATTGAGGGTATGCTGGGATTGTCACAGCATGACTACATGTATGTGTATGTGGACAAGAATGATGGGATGAAGAAGAGATTCTTTATGAGTTTGGGGCATGATGGTGATCACCCTGCAGCATCAGATCATTGGTGTATCTATGGTTGGATCATTCCATGGGTTCCATCAGGTTCTTTGGAGAGATTCCCCAGGTGGGGGGATATGGACTACAGGCCTGAAGAGCCATTGGGTGAGAGCATTGGGGATGAGCAGGATTGGTCCAATGGAACCTATGGGATAGGATGTGGATTCACCAATGCTGGCAGCATGGCATACTATGAGCCTAAGAATGGGGATGAAATCCAGCATGGGCATGAGGAACTCAGTTTCACAACATGAGGAACCCCCCCCATTCCATAGAGAATGTGGGGTGATAAGCATAAATGTGATTGAAAAAACAATGCTGATGGGCAAGGGTAGGGTTGGATCCATGGGATGTTTTTTTCCAATGAGACTTAACTATGGGGTAGTTGAACTGATGAGGTTTGCATAGGAACCCACATGAGAACTTGTGGATGAGTGTTCATGTTAGATTGATCCATGGGTTGTTTTTCCAAGGGAGCTTTTGGGAGAGGATGTGAAATGATGAGATTTGCATGGGAACCCACATGAGCAGTGATAAGGTTTGCCAATGAGGTGATTGCAAGGCTGTTGTTGGATGAGTCTTGCTGCTAGATTGGCTCATCAGCTTATCAGCAATCAGCAGCATCAGCTACTATCAGCTCATCAGAATGATGACGCATGAGATCATCATGATTGTGCTGGCATCAGTCCTCATTGGACTGATTGGGCTGCTGGTGTATTTGGCTATGAGCATGAGGAGCTGGGGGTATGAGGAAATATATAAGTTCATTGATTAATGAATTAGTCATCAATAGTAGTATTAGTGTTTGAGCTTGGATTTGTTTGCCCTGGGCAGGACATGGGTGGAGACCATCAGTGGGCAGATGGGTGCCATGTGTGGCAACATGGGTTCTATTGAGCGCAGAATGGATGGGCAAGGTGGGCTGATCAGAGATTCTTACATGAATACATTAATACTTTTTGTTTTTGTATATGTATATATGTAGAGACATGTATATATATAGAGTTCTATTTAATTATAGAGTGGGTTCATCTTAGGACAGGATCAGACATTTGTCACAGCGATTCCAAGATCTGCGAGGATGGGTACTTGTCAGATGCTTGGCCTGATCCTGGGTATGATTTTTATTGCTTATTTGATTTGCCATTGATTTTTGGATTGCCTATTTGATTTGTCATTGATTTTATTACAGATGAGATGCAAGTAATTAGCTGAAGCCATGGCTGTTAGATGTATTTGATCATTTGGTCAGCTGAGATTGGGATGATGAGAAGACATGCACTATGGATCAAAGATTGGAATTGATGCTGCAGTGGATGCTCTATGAGAAGGATGAGGTTACTAGCATGAAAATGATTGGTTAAATTATAAGGTTTTTTATTGGTTGAACTGTGTGAATGAACTATGTGTTCTTTAAAGAACTATTTGATCAATTGGACTGAGGCCAAATCCCTATGGAGGCCAATTTGCACATTGGCAATGATGAGCATCATGCGCACATTGGTACAGATGACCAGATGCAGGGATGTGAAGAAATGCACCTCAGATGGATTGGAGGCAACTTTGCTGATGAGTGTATTCTATTTGAATTGTATAATTAGTTTTTATTGGGTATTGATCTGAGGTGCGATATATTCAGCATTCAATGATGGGCAGATCAGTGACATCAACATTTTGCTGGATGAGTACATGAGCAATGTCAAGGCAGCATTCCTGCAACTTGGATGAGGCAGCAATATTTTTATGTCTTCTTGATGAGTGTATTGGTAGTGGTAGTATTTTTAATTGAACATTAGTTATATCACATCTCAGGACTGGCATATTCAAGCCATTGGCCCCAGATGATGAGGCATGGGAAGCATTCTGGGATGAGAACAATCAGTGTGGCATCCTGGCTGTGCATAGATAAGGCTGTTTTGGGTTGATTAGGTTAGACATAAGTAATTAGTTACTTTGTCAATACCTCACTAGGTGGTATTAGAGTTCTTGTGCTGAGGATGGATCTATTGGATGCAGATCGATTATGAGGCCATGGGGCATGTGAGCCATGATGACCTGGAAAAGGTGATGAGACTTGGTATGATTAGAACTATTGTTTTATTGCCATAGATTAGTTTTATATCATTAATGGTTTTGAGTAATGGTGAGTAATTAATAGGGAAGATCATGAGACTTTCAATGAGATGTCATCTTTTTCAATAAGTTCAATAGATTCCATTTGGTCATTACATTATGGAGCTATGTGCCATCTCAGGAGCCAGATGCATAAGAAAGATGAGTTCATCATGGTCTATGAGAAGATGGTCCAGAAGATGGCCACCCTTAAGGGATCACCTGGATCAGCCAGGTGATGAGCCTATGGGCTTTTGGCTGAGGAATGAGATTGGCATGCTAGAATGAGGTAGGTGCGCTTATACCATGAATGGGTGAATCACATATAATTGACTGTATCAGTCCATCACCTCTATGATTAATTAGGCATGAGGTTGTTTGTCTATTTGCAATGAGGCTATTTGTGTATGCCAATCATGGCTCAGCCACATGGCTCCATTTGAAGATGAGCAACATTTTTGGATGAGCTCAATGCCTCAACATCCATGGGCCCATCTCAGGATTGCAGCCATGAGCGCTGCAATGGATTGATGGGCTGATTGGTGTTCAGATGTTCATGAGTAATCAGGGTTCATGAGAAGTATTTTTGGTGCATGAGAACTATGATATTTATATATGTTGATTCTTTTTCAATGAGGTGAGCTGGAATGAGAACTGATTGGGTATTTCATTCCCAACAGCAAAAAAGAAATGAGTGGATTGGTGGGGATGGGTAG